TTATTTAGTTCAGTGACTGCATCAGCTTTGTACTGGACTGCAGTGAGTGACAATGGAAGAGGAAACAGATGTGACACTGATCTTCCTATCCAAGATGATCAGAGTTTGGGGTCAGAGCCCTTTGACAGGTTTTTGTCCATTTGTAACACAAAGAATTGTCAGGATTCTCTGTTCTCCACTGACTAATTGTGGGTAAGAAATATGCTCATCTATAAGAAAATGCTGAAGACCAAGTTTATCAGAAACTAGAAACTTCTCTTGTCCCTAGTGTTACAAATATGGATGATTCAAAGGTTGGTAATCTTGGATAGACATGTATTTTTGACTGCCCCTGCTGGATGATTGTTAAAATGAGGACGGGTTGGTTCTTTGTTCAAGTGGAACAAACAGACAATCATTCATGGCAAGTTGTAATTTGCTCAGTAAACTAATGAACGAGACTTGAGACTATCTATTCCTGTGAATGATCATCAGCATTGGGAAGAATTCTACATATGCTATCACACATAAATATGTTCAGAATACATGCATATGCAATCCAATTCTGGCTACTGTAAGGTAGGAAAATATTGGGCTGGGAAACTGCTTAATCATAGAATTATTGTCTACTGTGAAAAATGAATTGAGGCGTAGAGCCCAGTATTCATTCAATGGTGCACTACTTTAGTTCCAGCTCTTGAGTGTAGAAAGCAGGACTTCCAGTAAGATCTACATGAGATGAGAATTTTATCAGGAAATAAGATCTATGTGTGAAAACTCTTAGGAAATAGTGAGGACAATATATTAAACATAGTTTTATAAATTAAAGTAGTAGAGAACTTATTACTTCTAATACACGTGTTCAATACACATTTGAGTTATAGCAGATAAAACTATGCAAATTGGAAAAACTGTTAGTCAAGAATACAGCTAATATACATAATCTTTGGAACACCTTAAGAATATATATATATATATATATATATATATATATATATATATATGGCAATATTGTGGAAAAACTAGTCTATTTGAAGCTACATCAACAACATACATCAACAACAAATTTTAGGTTATTTGAGGATCCTTAGTTAACATGATTCAATGTGGGATATTGGTGTTTCCTTAGAGTTCACCTGGGTTCCTGGGTGTTTCTGCTGCAGCAACATCATCTTAGAATCATGCAACAACACTGGCACCACAAGCCACAATGTGTAATTGGAATTTATTTTTTGGATCACCAGCTCCCAAATAATGACATGGGAACTTCTATTAAGTACGAAAACTTGTCCTTAGCTTAGGCTTGTTCTCAACTAGTCCGTACAAGTTCATTAACCCATTTATGCTATTTTACATTCTGCCACGAGGTTTGTTAACTCTCCTACATATTGTACATCTAAACTTCCTCTACATCTCCCTGCCAAAGTCCCCGACTTCTAAGACTCTTCACCAAATTTTTCTGTCTGCTGGGAAATCCTGCCAATACTCTTCTGGATAGCTATTGGCCATTCAATTCTTTATTAAGCCAATCAGAATGTGTCTTAATCAGATGAGGTAAAACAGACACATCTTTACACATTGTGATCAAAATCCTGCAACAACAACACAGGAAGAAGTAAATGTTTAAAATCTGAGAGAAGGATTGTTTTGAACATGAAATGCCTTAGAATATATATATTTTTTAATTACTCAGTTGAATCACTGCATGTAAAAATATAGCAGGGGACTTCTGTATGTTAGCATATATAGCTATGTTTGCAACTCCAAATTCAAAACTTAAAGAATAGATTATACAATGTTCTAAAACTATACTTTATGTAGTCGAATGAATTCTGTTTGTCATAATGTGAAAGATTCCCTCCTCTAATATATTAGTGGTTGTTAGGCTACCCATTTCCACAGTGCTGCACATTTTGCAAAACTGCAATAAGACACAGCCATCAAAGTTGCCACCACAACAACTGTTGATAGAGTATTGTGATATCATTGTTTATCTCTTCACCCAGGAGACACAGACAGTCTCTGACAAAGAAATACTCTGTTCTACACCCACCCCCCAAAATTGGAACCTTTTATAAAATATGAATTCCTAAAGTCCTGTGTGTATTCTCTGAAGCCCAAGGCCAGATCATGCAGATGTTCAGCTAATGCCTTGCTCTTCCATCCCAGTTTAATTGAATGGCTCTAAACTCAAAAAGTCCTGGGAAAACCAGTAAGGGTCCCTATTTGTGGTCTGGATAACAGGTATTTTCAGGGAAGTCCCACAGAAGCCACATGCAGCTAAACTCTCACTTTGAAACAGAAGGAAACATAAATAATGATTTTCTAGCATCTATCATGAGAGGAACTTGGGTATTTATTCTCCTCAGTCAAGTATGTGGTTATAAATGGGAGTGATCTT